GGGGGGAGTGGGGGGTGGGAGCGGCAGAAGGTGCGGTCGAAGAGATAAGTCTTGAGACAAGTCTTTGAAATCAGAGGGGAATGAGGTGAAGCAAAAGTGTTTCCGGGGCTGTGGCGGACGGTCGAGACCCCGAGAGACAGACGCCCTCTGACGGTGGAGTTGAACGGGGGCCGAGCTCTGAGGGTCTGTGTCCACCCGCGAGGCCCGAACCCCGGGTCCCGCTTCCCATCAGCGGCTTCTCCTTCCTCCGGTCTCCCCCCCCACACCACCCCCCCCCCGGCGGCCCTTACCCCGCGTTGAGCCTGAAGCTCAGACAACCTCTGGCGCCGGATCGCCTCCAACTCCTCGTCCGCCATCGCCGTCGCTCGCGTCGCATCCGGCGGCGCGTTTCGACCCGCGGCTCCCGGCGCAGCGCACCCCGGCGGCCACCGCGGGAACCACAGCGGCGCCCTGTCCAGCGCAGCGCAGCGCAGCGGAACGGCACCGACGGCCGAACCGCAGCTCAGCCGCGCAGCGCCCTCCAGCGGCCACCAGGCAGCACAGCAGCACAGCAGCACAGCACAGTAAAGGTTATTTTCCCCCCAAATAAAAAAAAAGAACCCATGTGGTTGGGAGTTTTTCTTGGCCACTGAGACCCACACTGAAGGCGCGCAGTCGTTTTAAACTCCAGCCCACGAAACACGCCCTTTACAAATCAATTCACGGTGCGCCTCGGGGGGGGGGGTCCCGGCGCGCGCGTCCCCTGACGCAGGCGGTGACCCCATCAACAACAACAACAACAACAACCACAACAAGATTCCATTCGTAGAGCGGCGTCCGCGCCGGGAGGACGTCCCAAGGCGCCGGGCCGTTGGGTCCGTCGCCGCGCTTTTAAGGATGTCTTATTATTGCGAAGCACTCCGCAAAGGTTGCGCAGCACGGAAACAGCCCACTCGCCCAACTCGTCCACACCCGGGTGTTTGTCTTCCACATTAAGGTCTCGCTCCTCTCTTGGACGCATCGACCGTGGCCTCCTGTAGCTCAGCGGTTCGAGCACTCGCTTTGCAAGCGAGAGACCTGAGCTCAGTTCCAGGCAGAGGGCGAAACCTCGGGCAAGTTTCCTTACTCCACACACAGAGCCTAATAATAATCCCTTCAAAACCCAAAACAATAATAAATTGGTCATTTTCAATCTACGGCTGTTTGTGGGACATTGCTGTGCGCAATTGGCTGCCGCGTTCGCCCGCAAATATACAGTCAATTCACTTTACAGTGTGTTCTGTGAAGCGCTTTGGGATGTCCTCCCGACGTGAAAAGCGCTATATCAAATGCAAGAATTATTATTATTTTTATTACATAATTCTGATTCAACCGTCACTTCAGGCAGCGAGTTCGCTCTCCTCTGTGTGAAGTGGCCTTCGCGCGACGTTGTTTCTTGTTCCTTTTGAGCTTATTTGGAAGATTTTATTAAAGCGCGTTTCTTTTTGTTGCACACTTCATTTTCGAAGCATTCAATTCTATTATTATCCATTTTTTTTCCCCTTCTTATCCAGCCTTTCTTGGCTGGGAAAATGCGTAGGCTTCAGAAAAGCACAACCTGATTTTTAATAAAGCCGTTAGTTCACGTTCAAAGTGGCTGAACATTTTTAACCCGAACGCCAGAGGGCATCACCAATACTGCTACAGATATAAAATCCATTTCCCTTGTAACTCAGGAACCAAAACTTCAGCCAAACTCCTTTTCTTCTAATAAAAAGTGCAGAGTTTCTACTCTGGCTGCTGCGAATGCTAATTTTGTAATAGATGAACATTGAATTCATTAAAATATTGTGTTGAGATTTTGGCTGATCTGCATTTCAAAGATCTGTGATGCTGAACATCTGGAAACATGAATTATTTTGTTGGAAAATACTCTGTGAACTGTTGCCAGATAGATGTTCAAGAAAATAAACCTTTAGGATAATTTGATTAATGATAGAGTATATTTCCCCAAAAAAATAACATGGTATAAAACCGAAGCACTGTTTCAGCAGCTAGATTCTACTGGTTTAGAGGGATGAACACTTTAAATTTTAAAAAGTTATACATTTGTTTTAGGAATACAGTTAATATATATTTATGAAATAATCTGAACTTTTTGAGGTTGCTCCAAAATTGCTTTTACTGGTAATTCCTGCTTTTGGAGATTGTTGTCATTGCTTTGGCGAACGAAAAATACCTGTTTTGCTCAAAAAGCACGAGAAAGGGTTGCAACTGTATTTGTGGAGTGATGTCTTTCATTATCCTCATTATCCTGTGGTTCATGTTGATGAGACAGAGGTCACCGAGAAAAACTACTGCAAAATGATTCACTTTAGATCCATTTCAGTTTGTGATAGCGCAGTGGGAAAAATATATGAAACAGGATTTTGACATGATATGATCCCAGGAGGTTTTAATGAAACAATAGTTAAAAAAATGTAAAATGTGTGCGCTCAGTTCTGATTCTCCATTGTGAATTTGTTCAAATGAAAGTAATAATTATAATAATCCTTGCATTTGATATAGCGCTTTTCACGTCTTCTCGACATCTCAAACTGCTTCACAGAATAGAATGTAAAGTGAATTGACCGTATGTTTGTGGGCGAAACGCGGCAGCCAATTGCGCACAGCAGTGTCCCACAAACAGTCGTGGATTGAAAATAACCAATATATTATTGTTTTGTTTTTTGGAGGGATTATTATTAAAATCTGCTCAGAGAGTAGTTCAGTTAAGTGAACAGAAATTGAACTCTTTCCGCTAATTATAAAACCATTGGATTAATGGTTAATAACTGAACAAATGAACCCTCTTGTTTCTCTCAGGTAGATGCTTTCCTGTTTAGATCGTACAATTTATACCTGTTATTTTCAATAGATTGTCTCTCTTGAACCTCAAAGGCATGAGGGCCAGAATATTTCTGTTTCCACATGTTCACTATTCAAAGCTAATCTCCTAGCAGCATTTTCTAGCCCTAGCAGCACAGATAGCATTGTGTTGTATGGTGTATTTGTTTATCTCAGACTGCACAGTTCCCTTTATCTTCTCAAATTATCTCAACTGGATATGTATCCAGTTATTATTCTACAAGAAGTTATTGCGGTGTGAATTGTTTCTGAGCCAGTTTTCAATTCAGTGTGTTAATTTGCCGTGAATACCGTAGGTTTTAGCCTTAACTATTCACTGACTTCCAGTAGATTCGAGAAGCATGATCCATTGGTTATAAATTCATGTTGACTACTTATTGAATTGATTGATGGCATCCCTTCTAACGTTTTCAGGTATTCTCCCCACTACAGATGTTAGGCTAACCGGCCTATATATTTAAGATTATGCCTCAGATTGCACTACTGCAGTATTAAACGCAGGTGGTGCAATTGATCTGGCCCTGTTGAGAAAATCCGTGGGCGGTCGAATAGACTGCTGAAGAGCTTGTAAGCGGAAAGTTTTACACTATTGAACAGATAGTCATGTGGATACAGATAGTCACACATGTGCAGAGCTCGCTTCAAGCCCTAGTGGGAGCCTTGACAGCAGGAAATATAAATAAGTCTGTCCACTCCAATTCACAATTAAAAATAGACATGAGATGTAATGAGCTAATAATTCTTAGGAGTCTAGCAGCTTGCAGCATCTCACATTAGATTCACCTGTAATATAAATGGGAGTACTGCCACTGACAGTTTCTAGCCTTTGGAAAGTTCAATTCTTGAGCACAAGTGCATTTCCTTTGTTGTAACAGAATTAAAAAAAATGGTAATAGTTGTTATTTTTAACTAGTGGAAGAACACAATGATTGGAAAGATTATTATTATTATTATTATTATAAGATGTTCTGAATAAAAGATTCGCCGCCCCCTCTCCCCCATCCGCCTCCCTCTCCCCCATCCGCCTCCCTCTCCCCATCCACCCCCTCCCCCATCCCCCTCCCCATCCCTCCCCATCCGCCCCCCTCTCCCCCATCCACCCCCTCCCCCATCCCCCCTCCCCCATCCGCCTCCCTCTCCCCCACTCCCCCTCCCCCATCCGCCCCCTCTCCCCATCCGCCCCCTCTCCCCACTCCCCCCCCCCTCCTCCCCCCACTCCCCCTCCCCTCCCCATCCGCCCCCTCTCCCCCATCCGCTCCCCCCACCTCCCTCTCCCCCATCCGCCCCCTCTCCCCCATCCCCCCCTCTCCCCCATCCCCCCCCTCTCCCCATCCGCCCCCTCTCCCCATCCGCCTCCCTCTCCCCCATCCGCCCCCTCTCCCCATCCACCCCCTCCCCATCCCCCCCCATCCCTCTCCCCCATCCGCCCCCCTCTCCCCATCCACCCCCTCCCCCATCCGCCCCTCCCCCATCCGCCTCCCTCTCCCCCATCCCCTCCCCCATCCGCCCCCCTCTCCCCCATCCGCCCCCTCTCCCCATCCGCCCCCCTCTCCCCCATCCGCTCCCCCCACCTCCCTCTCCCCCATCCGCCCCCTCTCCCCCATCCGCCCCCCTCTCCCCATCCGCCCCCTCTCCCCCACCCCCCCCCCTCCCAGTTCGGCCCAGTTTGTGAAGTGCTTTGAGACGTTCTCACTGTGTGAAAGGTCCCATATTAGGGGTTTTTGAAAATCTTTGAAAACATGAGAAGATATAAGAGTGGAGACAGAACAGGGTCATGGGATTAGATGCTGTGGATAAGGGAGGGTGACAAACACGTGGCAGTGGCTTCTTTTATGATTCAGAACAGTTTTTACAACATTTTCAGAATGCAAAGATTAGCCAACCATTCGGGTTTTGTATCTTGCATTGCAGGCGTTATTTTTGTAACCACATTCTGCTTTGTATCATGTGGGGGGTGCCTTTTTGTGGAAAATAATATGCTATATTTTACCAGGATATTGGTAAATGTAGATGTAGTACACTACAGTATACTGTATAACTTGACTCCACTATTGAATGGCCTTGTCTAATATGGATTTTTGAAGATTGAACTCTGGCTATCTTTTAGCCTTTCCTGATTTCCCTATCCCAAGTCTGTGAAGTCATAACCTTTTTATATCATAGTTGCTTAATTCTGTTTACAACTTGAAACCCCACCTATTTACATCTGTCGAGGCAGCGCACACATGAAATTCAACCCCTCACAACACCCTTAAGTTGGCTGTTGTGCTGACTTGGAAACCCATTTAGTAACATCTCCCAAGGAAGCCCTGATAGTAACACGAGTCGTCTGCAAGACGTGTTAAAGCAGCAAACGGCGTGTTGGCATGAAAAGACTGCCTAAATACCTTGCCGGTAAATTAAATTTATGATTTAACCTGATCAGTGAAAAATAGTTGGCTTAATGAACAGATGTTATGATGTTATATAATGTTAAGTTATGCCTGGCATATTTTGAATAATTATAGAGCTCATAAATCAGCCATCATTTATGTACGAAGGGTTGATAATATGTTACAAATCATATCTTAATTCAGGATGCACCAGGTGAGCAGCAAAACCAACAGGAGGCCAAACAGAGGTAGGAATACAGCTCCACTTGAGTCGGAGATTGCTTTTCGCATTGAAAATGTCATCTCTTTTCTAAACTGTTACCGTCCAGAGGGGTAGAAGTACATCCTCCTTGCAGGTTGCTCAGCAATGGACTTTGCTTCCTTCCCTGTGTAAAAGTGGTGCCTGACATCTGTTTCATCGTGAGCACTAGTCTGAAAAACAATCTTCCTTGAAAGCACAGTCTCTCTGGAGCTGAACTAGCTGAGAGGAGAAATGCATTAAAAACACAGGCAGAAATGGTGGAATCAAAGACAAATTTAGAGGTATAGATCTGTCCTCAACCCTGCGCACCCAAAACAAACAGGGTACGGAGGTTGCTAGCTGGACATGTACAGTCACGTGCTAGTTACCATCCTGCTTGGTCCTTGCCAAATCGGGTATAAAATGACTCAGATGTGTTACTGTGATTTAGAGCCATCAAGCTGTGATTTATAAATATTTGTTTTCCATTCACCAATTACTGTAATACTGTGTTTAACAACCGTGCAATTTTTATTTAAAAAAATTAAATTGTAAAGTTATCCCAGTTTTTAATCCCTGTGAAGAATAGCCATTGGGTCCTCTGTGTAATAGCATTTATTTTGTCGATTTTCACTGTGCAGTGTTCTGTACTCTTGCCTCCCTAATACAAACAAATCGTGATTGCAGGGAGGCAGAAATGAGGAACGGTATTCTCGCCCAGGTTTTGGAACAGTCGGCTCGCGCCAGATGTAAGTAGCCAAAACCAGACCTTGAATTTAATCAGCAGGTAACTTCTCTGCCCTTTGCATTGTTTACTGCTCCAGCTGTTCTGCCTCAAATTTTAAATTAGGTCCAAAATGCGATATTCAGAATGAGCCCCAGTTCCTCTCTGTTCGGCAAACACCTGGTGTCTGCTTCATGATCCCGGCTCGATCTGCCCTTCCCTCCTTACCTTTGACTTGCCTTATCCCAGTTTTTAATCCCGGTGCAGTGGGACGTCCTCTCGACGTGAAAGGCGCTATACAAATGTAATTTTGTATTGTATTTTCAATTGAGCTTTCTCAGAACTCAGTGCATCCTGAGTACATTAAAGCTGCACTTGCTTGCTGTTACCATCTGGTGGTGTAAATGTTCTGTCACAACTGAAAAGGGTCAGTGCTGTAACTTTTCAGTGCCAACATTTTAAATTCTGCAAATAAATTAAATATTTTAAATTACGATAACTAAATTAATTAAATCACGATATTTAAAGTAAATTAAATTTACTTTAATTTTTAAATATTTTACATGGTTCATACAAACCAAAGATTCACAGATATAATTTGGTTGAGCCTTCCTCACTGTTCAAAAAGTCATTTTAAGTTTATTTTTTTTATTTCAGTGAGTAACCTGGCCCTTGTGAAGCCTGAAAAAGCCAAATCGGTGGAGAATTACCTAATACAGATGGCAAGATATGGGCAGCTTGGTGGAAAAGTAAGGCAAAATTATTAACTTGAATTGTGTATTTATATTTTAAAAAGTATTTGATTTCACTCAAGATTGAATCTTTTATCAAACTTTATTGATGCAGAAATGGATTTGAAACATTTGAAAAACATCTGTTTCAAACATTTGAAAAGACAAAAATTCACGGAGAGGAAATGAATGTTCTACCAGTACAACGATATTCCTCTAAAATAGTTGACTTACTAATTTGTGTATTACAATGTCTATTTGTCCTAGAAGCATATTTATCCTGTGGTGATAGTGTTTTTGCACAATGCTCTGCAATTTCAAAGTATTGAGTTAGATGTTAAACTTTTGTATGTTTTCTGTAATCCTGTCTTAACCACAGGAAGGAAATAAATAGTACAAGGACCTCTTGTATTTCAAGCCAGTTGCAAATTGTAACTTACATTTGTGCCTTTTAGATTTCTGAATCGGGATTGATTGAGATCCTTCAGAAAGTCAGCCAACAAACAGAAAATAAAACTAAAGTCAAGGTACGTGCAGATGGTTTGCATTTAAAACGTTATTTTGGCTCCCCAAAGATGATTTAGTTCTCAATCACCCCTCACCTTATCGCTGAGAACCACCAGCAAATATTTTAAGTAAAATCTAAAATGTTTTATTCCTCCTTGCAACATATTCTGGCCACGGTGGTGATCAAGAACATTCTTATGAACGTGTGCTAGCTTTGTTCTCAAATCAGCCACTGGAAAGGGTGTGTGTGTGTGTGTGCGTGACATTTTTCTTTTAAAAATCCTTTTTTTTAAAAAAACATAACATTGAAGTCAAACTAAGCTGATAAGTTCTTGAAAATGTGAGATTTCAAAAGACATTGAAAGTTTAGTTTTGGTATCCTTGTGAATTTCAGTTTAACAGAAGAAAAGTAATGGATTCTGATGAAGAAGAGGACTATTGAAACCTGCCCCCGGAAGACCCTATTCCTGAAACCTTTAAGGACCGTGCTGACAAGGGTGGATGAGAGAGTGTGGATTTTTTTTTGTTTCCTGGAGGAATTCTTTGTATAGTTTTGTATGTTTGGGTGCAAAGGGGAAAGCAGTCGAAGGCTCAGTGGTTCTGAATGCTGCTTTTAATACAAGTACAAGTTCCTGGTGGGTTTGCGTGGAGCTGACTTTCTGATGGCTTTCCGAAAGACTTAAAAGCCTCGATCCTTCAACTATTTGCATCGCAGTAAGGAACTGATGCTATCAACTGGGAGACTATTGATGGCTTCTGTTAAGAACAACTAAGTAGCAGTTTTATATCATAATGCCTATTTATCCTACTGTTAATTTGCGCAGCACCATTTCTGTACATTGATGTGTTCTAGTGCAGTAACCTAGCCTCAAGCTGTTTTTATGGATTTTTTAAAATTCTGTTTTCACCAATGCACAATTTAAGCTTTCTACGGACTATGGTTTTTGTTGACAGTAAATGTTGTTGCTTAGAAGTTCCCTTTGTAATCATAGGGCCAAGAAGAGATAGTTTGTGAAAAAAAAGATTTCGATTTAATATAATACTTGTAAAGATAACCAAAATGATATTGATACGTATTTCCTTTCTGCGAGTGTACATAAAGGTAAATTCACTGTATTCGCAAAGCCTGTTTGATTGAGATAACATGAAAACCCTCACATCCAGTTAAATTATTGCTGTCTGCCTTCCATTGAATTCTAATAAATGCTCAGCTAGTTTGATGAGAAATAACAGGTCTGGATAAGCCTTTGCAGATAAAACTGAAAGCTTGGAAATCTCTACAGCGCAGCCCTTTAATCATTCTTTCAATAGTTCAATCTGAACAAACAAAATGAATTTTAAAAAGTCAGAAACAAAGATATAATAGTCAAAATGTTTTTTAAAATGTGTGCTTCTGAAGAGTGCATTGTGGTGTGCCGAGTTAAGGTGTCAATGTTATTGTGGCGTAGTGTGGTAAGCTGTGAATTTCTACCTGTGATTCCTTCTACAGTGAATTCCTGATCTCAGCCAGGATATTGTGCTAGGAGATAGAAAAGGCTTCCATGCAGGAAAGAATGAGAGGGAAAAAAATCAACAACAACTTGCATTTATATAGAGCCCCTTACACAGGCTAGCGTTCCCGATCGCTTAATCAGAGGGTGAGTCTGCCCTCATGTACCTATTAATATCTCGTCTAGTACTGTGCCTATTTACCACTCAGATTGGTAAATCTGAGGCAAGCAAAGAATAACATAAGCACAGTGTCAAGGTCAGGGAATTTACCCAGAACGAGAGAATAACCTGTCACTGCGATTTAATTATACATGAGTTTAATCTGAAATTAACTATACACAGGTAGCTAACAGAAGGTGTTAAAAATGAAAAAAAAGTTGCATTTTCAGATTCAATTGCTTGCACAAAATATGTGCACGGAAACAAATCCTTCTGGGGAAGAGAGAGAGACAGCATACATTGAACTGGCTCTGAAGAAACACACCAAGTAGGTCTGGAATAATCTATGTAATAATACAGTACCGATCATTTGTTATTCTTTTGCCTTGATCATGCAGGAGATGATATATACAAACCATATCATATCAGTAAAAGCAGCAATTACATATTACCACAGGGCAAGTAATGTATGCAATTAGAACTCCAAACAAATGGCCTGAAAGCAGTAGTCTATCAAACAGGCTAATTTATGCAAAAGGCAATTATCAATGAGATTTATAAATGTTAATACAGGCTGTTGTTGTTTGATCTGATCTGGTATTGGATAGAGAAAGTATACTGCTGTGACTAATATTTTGCAATACAGAATTAAACCCTCGCAGACCAGAAGGCAATTTTCTTTTTTTTATTCTGTTGAACACCTGGTCTGAAAACAGAGAAACATCCAGTGCAGTCCCGGCTCACAATGTCAGATAATTAACTGTGCAGCTTAAAGTGAAAGAAAAATATTTCTAAAAGGAGCAAAGGAGTAACCATTGTACTGGGAACTAGTCGAATCATATCACATTATCAACTTAATAAACATACTTTAAAATAACTCACAGGCTATATGAGGGGGTTCATCAAATCATCCAACTGTACAGTATGGAACATGCTTTGGACCAGTTTCTGATGATCCTGTCCTCACACATCCTGCTCTAAGCAGAACAACAAGGTTGACATGACCCTCAGATTGCCCCAAAGCCACCAACATAATTAGCAAATAGGGACACATTAACAAGGCAGGCTGATGCTACTGCCTTGCTAATGTGGCCCCATTTCTCCCCACTCCTGCAAAACACACCATTCTACTCGTCAACCGTAAAAATCGAAGTAGCTGTTTTTTCAGTGACAGTGGAGGCCAAAGGATTTTATTTTCCAAGTCATTTCAGAAATTTACAGGTTGTACTGATGTTTTTAATTCTGTGCGATGGTAATGATATCTGTTATCATGGTGTTCCAATTGTCCTCCCCATACTGTATTGATTTGAGGATGAGATTAGGATCCGTGAAAATGACAAATTTAGTAGAAGTGGTAGGGAACAAGATTCAGCCCATATTAGTTGCTTTAGGACTTAATCTAAAAATCAATCATCTGAAGCTGTAATCGATCAGATAGACAACCATATTAAGGAGATCAGATATATGCCTGCATTGGTTTCAGTGTGGGGGTTGGGTGGGGTGGACAAGATATTTCAAGTGTTTCAGATATTTTAACTCCATTTAATTTTTGACTAAATAAGATTTTTTTTATTATAATAATCAGGACAACCATCAGGTTGGAAATTGCTAGATGAAATTGTACATGTCTGAAATTGCAGGGAGGGATTCCTGGATGAGGAAGCCGATTTGATTGCTTGATGTTATTTGCACTGTATTACATGTACAAGTGTGCAATCTGCCACAGAGGAGCATGTATTTTGCTGCCAATAAGAGATCAGAATATGTGATTCAGATGGGTTTATTCTACTCAATTTGGAGCAGAGTGCACACACTGCTGGATTTATTCCAGAGCCATCTTGATGGTGTCAACAGAATATTACTTCCTATCACTGACTGGGCACATTAAAAATACACTGCAGCATTAAAATGCAGTTGATGTTCATTTAATTATCTTGGAAGAAAATCTATAACATTAAATCATAAGATTACGAAGCAATGGTAAATATTGCCAGTAGACTAGAAATATGTGCAGAAAACAACCCATATTGTGTTATTATAGCTGGAAGCAAACAGTTGGAATTCTGTAACAAAAGAGAGTTAATTTATTCCTATCGGGTTAAAGATTTGCCTTAATGCTTCAAAATTTTAATTAGCTGTACATTACCATTAGCAAGCCTACCAACAACATCTGTTTTAATAAATTATCGCTTGCAAACAAGAGAATTAATGAGCCGACAGAATGCCTAGGCTTCTATTTAAACATTTTTAATTAGAGGCTGATCTTTGCTATTCAGTTCCACGTAAACCTTTGAAAGTTATTTTGATAAAACAGAATAATAGCTGGTGTACTTTTCAAAGTTTCAGCACAATTGTATAATTTAAGAGAGATCCTGAGTTGCAGTAGGATTGGCTATATGGTTTCTAAATGCTGTATTTACCTGCAGTCCTGCCTCCAATGGCAGCTACAACTTTGATGGAATCGCTTCAAGATATAGCTGGTCCTTCCTCTAGAGGCACCAAGTTCCAGCTCAAGAGGTGGATTTCCTCAGTCCCTCCAGAGGCAGGAATGTTAAGACATCCTTGGAGAGCTCACTTGAACACTTGGTAACAAGGCTGAGGCCGGGCTTGTCCTGCCGGAGAAACCATCCCATCACCTGACTTGCTCGGGTGGTGGTGAAGACAGATTTCAGGTCCACAATTTGACAATTCGGGGTCTAAAAGATTGGGCTTGGCTGTGTGGACAACCCTCGTTCCCTAATTGGAACGTATTTGGTCTAATTTGGTTTATGGGGGGTGAGCAGGCCTAACCATGCTCCCAATACTAAAAAAAAGCCTTGGGCTACTCTTACCTTGGGCAACCTTTGAGTTTGGCGCTGGGTGGGCTGAATGTTAGCTTGTCTATAGAGGTCAGTGACCTCTGGTTAATAACCTTTGGCCTTCTACCTTGTAAAGTCCTTCCAATAACGTATCCTTGGAAGCTCGTTAGAAATAGCGTAAATTAGACCGCAATGTTAACCAAAAGGTTGGAAAATACTTCTTTTACCAACTGGCTATTTGTAGACACTGCTGACATGGTTCAAAAACAAGCACAGTTTGTGAATCCCAAACACCTCAAATCACTTTGAATTGAATTGCATCTGCAATATACACTTGTCTTAAATCTACCCTAACCAGAAGATTGTGTTACAATCCCATAACTCAAAGCCCACCAAGTGCCAGGAAAATAAATCAAACGCCCTAATTTTCAGAGTGCAAAGTGGAATTTTAAACTTAATAGCAGGACAGCCACCTGCTCACCTTTCGTTAAATCACGAAATGTGATCATTATAAGAATCAAAGCATGAACCTTTCGACAAAAAAAGCGAAATGATTTTGAAGTGATAGGCAATTGCTAATATTTCAGCTGCTATTAGTATCATGTTACCAGCAAACTCAAACTGACAAGGATCAGTCCAACTGGGTGGTGTGTTATGCTGCTATAATTGAAAATGAAGCTCCAGTTAGCAGATGATGCCTTTTGTCTGTTTGGGTTACAGGACACCTTTGTGGAAAATCATACGTGGTTACAGCAAGAAAAACGTGCTGGGTATTATTTAATTTTATGCTGAAATCCACACATGACATTACCATGGTCTCATTTGCTCAGGCGCATTTTTGCATACAGCACTATGTATGTGTTTCTGATGTTCAGTTGTGGAAGTCACCATAACTTGTGTTGACAAACATGTTCAGGGTTTAAATGGGAGACAGAAACCAGACTGAAGCGCATGCTGATGACTCAGTTTACCTGAGTTAAATGGGACTAAAGTGGGGATGAAAATATGGGAGAGGGGAATAGGAGGGCTGGAGGCCTTAACGGAATATAAACATTGGCACAGACTAGTTGGGCCGGTTTGTGTGCCTCAACAGTCTATGTAATTCTATGTAATATTAATAATTG